GGGGGCGGCAGCCGTAGCGGTGGAATCGGATCCCGTGGAGGAAAAGGAGGCAATTCTTCAGGAAAAAGGAAGAGAGACCGGGATGGCGGCGGCGGCGGGGAAGATGGCGGCGGAGATAGTAGCGGTGGTTGCAGCGTTAATTACATTGGTCTAACGTTGTTGTCCGTCTTTCTCAGTACAAGCTATCTGGTTTTGTTATTATAGATTTTAAATGTTATGGACATATCGTTTAATTTGTTTGTTTTTGTAAGTCAATTAATTCCCCGTTTTTCTTTGGTAAAATATTTTTCTTTTTCTGTAAAGAGAATATTCAATTACTATTATTGATTGTATCAAGTGGAATGTAATTTATCATTATACACATTTTGTTCCGTAATTAAGTTGGTTAGCACTCACCAACTAAATCAATAAATCGATTATGTTAATCGGATTTCCAATTTTTGGGTACACGTTCATTAACAAAGGACTTGGTTTCGGAGTTGAATGTCTCAAAATTTTGGATATCTAAACTTACACTATCCTAGTGGACCTAGTTACATTAATTGAGCCGTTATTAAATTTGATTAAGAATTTATCGTTTAGCTAACTTCAAATTAGGGTTTTGGTCCCATACTCAAAATCCGATCTGTATCCAAAAAATGATCGGACTCGGGTTTAAATTTATAGCTCTGAAAAAAAATCGGATTTTCGGATTGAATTCAAATCAGGCTTTAGGTTTAATCGGATTAAATCAGACGGTTTCAACTCGATTTGAAAGTTAAAGATTTAAAACAAAATATAGAAAAAAAATTGAGTCAAATGAAAAAAAAAAGGAAAAAAAAACTTTAATCGAAAGGGTTTAGATACTAGAAATTACCGCATTGCCCATGCATGGCTCCCAACGTGGATAACGGCTCCTTCATTTCCTCGGTCAACGTTCGTACCAGCGAGTCACGGTTCCCGTACCCAAACGTCACCGTTTCAGTCTATTCGTTCCTATTTATTTATTGAGAAAATTTCTGATTTTGCAATTTTAACTTTATATTTTTTATTTTATTAAACTCAATATTTATTATATTTAATAATAAAATATCTATATTTAAAAAAAATGGTAAATACAACCCTAAACACAAAAATTGATTTTGTGCCAACAATTTCATACTAATCACATAAAATATCATCGATTATCTAATATTTAATAATATTAAATAATAAACATAACAAAAAGTTATTAAAAATTATTATAATGTTAATAAGAATAAAATCAAATAATGAAAACTACATATATATACATACACATGTATTATTTAATATATATATATATATGTGTTATATATATGTATGTATATATATGCGTATATATATATGTATATATAATTTTATTATTTTATTTTTATTAGTATTATTATAAATTTTTAATACTTTATTATTTTATTATTTAATATTATTAAATATTAGATAATTGATGATGACATCATCTTTGAAAAGTCAGTTTTGTATTTAGAATTTTATTTTTTAATTTTTTTAAAATGTAAATATTTATTGCTAAATATAGTAAATATAGAGTTTAATAGAAAAAAAAATATAGGATAAAATTACAACTAGAGAAAAATACAGGTTTTTTAATATAATTTTCTCTTATTAAAATTATATGAATTATTTGTTGACGCTATTTCTTATATAAACCGAAAATTCGATGGTTTAATATGAATAGATTGGAATAAAGGATTAACAAATAATTTTACACAATTCTTTATAAATATATCTTAGTTTTATTCTATTTATTTTAATCTAATTCATAATAAAAACTGGTTAATCCCAAAAAAGTCCAAAACTTGTTTAAATATTTCATATAATACCCTAAACTTGTAATTTTCCATAAAAATCCTAAATTTGGTAAAATTTTCAACAAAAATTATAAACTTATCATTTTCTTCCATATAAAATCTTTGACTTGTTCGACCAAAAATTTAATTGGCGTGGCACGACGGATTGCTGACATGGCGCTGATTGAGTAGATACGTCAACGCCACATCATCATTTTTAAAATTAAAATATAAATTTCTAATTTTTGGTCAAATATATATACATATATATCTGTATATATATTAAGTTTATAATTGAAAATTTTAAATATATAAATATATATACATATACCTATATATACATACATACATATATTTTTTTAATCAAATATCTATATATATATATATATATATTTGTATATCTATTAAGTTTATAATTTGAAATTTTAAATATACAAATATTTTAATCAAATATATAAATTTACACATATATAAATATATTTGAATCAAATGTATAAATTTACATATTTTAATCAAATGTATAAATTTACATTAATTTTTAAAATTATGACGTGACGTTGACGTGTCAACTCAGTCAGCGCCATGTCAGTAATTCGTTCGTGCCACGCCATCAAAATTTGCTCGAACAAGTCAAAAGTTTTATATGGAAGAAAATTGTAAATTTATAATTTTTGTGGAAATTTATACCAAATTCAGGGTTTTTTTTTTGTAGAATACTGCAAATTCAGAGTTTTATATGAAACACGTTAACAAGTTTAGATTTTTTCGTGGGACTAACCCTAATAAAAACAATCATTTCTAATCATATCTTCTTCTTGTAATCATTTTTTTAATTCATAACATACAAAAAAAAGTATGAATTTTCTATTTTTTTCCTTTCTTATTTTTCACATTTGTACAATTCATTGAAAATGAGAAGCAAAAACCTCGTCTGTTTTTATCAACCTAAACACGAGCGAATCGATCGAACCATCCATCGTTTGTTAATATGACATATTTGAATTGTCTTAAATTCGTTAGATTCATAATCAAATAAACATTTAAAACATTTATCTTCACTTAGACTTCAACTAAACTACTTCAGTTGTCGGATAAAATGCATATATTGCCAAACCACACTTACCCTCAGGAGCGCCCACGTCTCTTCTGATCTTCATGTAACCTTTCTCGCCCCATCCTTCCCCCCACGAGTTCTTCACCAACCAATACTTCCCCTCTGTCTGGCTCGTCCCATACCCTACGATCGTGACCGAGTGGCTCAGTGTCGTCCCGCACGGCCCATCGTACACTCCGCTCGAGTAACCCCTAAACGACGGATCTATGTTCACTCCGACCGGTTGTCTCGCCACCACCTTCATCAGCTCCTTCTCGTTGTTCTGAATGACCACGTACCATCTGATTCTTGCGGCGGGTGGAACGTTAGATCGGCACGATTGCTGCGATGCGCTGTAAGGGTAGTCTTTATCGGAAGCAATGCCGTTCTTGATTATGTATTGCAACGCTCTATCCGGGAATCCGGATCGACAACCTTTCTGATATGTATCACAGTCTACGAGTTGTTGTTCGGACAAAGATACGAGATTGCCTGTTGCGATCTTTGTCAGTCCTTCCACCGCCCCTACAGCCGCGAACGCCCAACAAGCTCCTAATGTTTTGGATGTATTTAATTCGGTGGAGTCAACTAGCTTGATCTAATGTAATAATTCCATGATCTAATGTAATAATTTCTCTGAAAAAATGCAATTAGTAAACATCGTATTCTGGTTAGAGCAGACTAAATTACCGCATTGTCCCTGGTTCTTGACAGGGGTCACAGCCCCTTGTGTCCTCCAGTCCACGTTCTCGGGAAGATTATCTGCTTCACTCACATTCACATACCTTAGCGTATTCGTTTCATCAGGTCCCGGCAAAGATGTTCCATTTATGATCTCATCGGACAGTCTTAGTCCCGTGAAAGTGGAACGAAATTCCTCGTCGGTCATATCAGAGAACTGGTTAATGCCCAACTTGTACGTTGCATTCCCGTTTCTGTTGAAGTTCTCGATGAACTCTAAGTTCTTCTTGAAGATCTCGAACCTTATCTGTTTCTCGGATTCGTCTGCGTAAACATGGCCATATGTAGCCATCCATTGCTCGTGCTTCGCTATGATTGACGACGATTCGGCCGCGCCATTTCGACGAGAGGTGGCTGTAGAGATTGTGGAGCTCACAAGGATGGTTAGGATCAGAATTAGAACCATTGACGAGTCCATGTTCTTAGGGTAATTTGTAATTAATTACAGTATGAGAATGTTGTGTTTATATAGAGATGTGTTTCATCCATTCTCACGTATCTTTGTGTAAAATCAAGAGAATGGAATGAAAGGTGGAAAATTGATTATAAAAAAAAAGGTGGAAAATAAAAATTCACGAGAGGAAAAAAAAAAGAAATGTAGAAGAAGTTAATAGTCAATTAATATATAATGGATCTGATTGCATAAAATCTGTCAAAGATAGATTTGCTTTTACATCTTTGTCTATATCCTTCGTACATTACTCTTCATAATACAAGAAAATCAAATTAGCAACATTTCGATATATTGTTTAAAATGGAAAAGAAAATTATGGGAATACTTGAGAAGATGGGAAAATATATATACAATATTAATAAGAATAAAATCAAATATTTTAAGAATGCAAAAGAATATACAAAAGAAGAAAATTGTTAAAAAAAAAGGAAAAAAATACAAACAAGGACAAGTAGAAGAAAAAAAGGGAAGAAACTAAAATATAATTTTTTAAAAGAAAAAGAAAGATTGAATTCTTTCCCTCGTAGGGGTATTTTGATACCTTAAAAAAAATAATTGTAATGGTTGATATTGTACAAAAGATGTATTCGACCATAAAGTACATAAAACTTTTCATCACTAAATATCTATATTTCCTCTAACTGATTGATACTCCTTAATATACCCTTTTTTGTTGCATAAAAATAATGAAAGTTTATTTACTTTCTAAAAGAAAGAGAAACGATGGCCACATTTTAAAAACATAAAACAAACTTTAATATTAAATTTTTATCTGCAATTCACTATCAAGAATTGTGGAATAACATTTTATGATTTATTTTAACAGACTAAATAAATATATTCAAATAATGTGAAAGAAAAACAAGAAAAATATTTATATTCATTTGATTATAAGTATTTATATAAATTTTGAATAAAATATTCTAATATATAGTCTAATTTAATATATAAATTTTATTATAATTATCTAGATTTTTTAACTAAATATCTAGATATTTTATATATATAATAAAAGTTCTAGAAATTGGATTATGAATTAATTTTAGATTTGATCAGATTTATTTTGGATAAATGATCTCAAATTAAATTTAACTCAAAATTAATTTAATCTACATAAACTTAACCAAAGGCAAACGTGATTCAAATAATCGTGGCAACCCATGCCTTAATTTGTAGAGATACATATAGAACCCAAGTCAAATCATAAGGCTTTGGAGAGATTCACTTTACATTTACTTTTATTTAATTTTGATTCACAATAAATAAAAAAGAAAGAAAAATCAATAAGGCAAGCTCTTAGATCTTGTACTAATGATCAAAGACTTGAGCCTTGAAGCTTGACTCTCCATATCTACATTTGCTCTTCTTGTTATCATCTCCATGTTCTTACGCAAACTCTCCTTCACCAGATTCTTCATCATCATCTTACCTTCTTGAGCCGATCTCTGACTCATCGGTGACCCCATTCCAGGGCTGACCCGACCAGTTTGTGGACCCGAATGCGGACCCATCCGTACATGTCTCTCGTCCTTGAACCACTGCAACAATTTCACCGCTCTCTTCTGAGCCAGAGGACTTCCAAGTAGACTAACCTCGACAAGCACCGGCACGATCCCTGCCTTTGCCATTTTTTCGCGTTGGCTCCAACTCTGGTGAGCCAATACCATCAAGATATAAGCCGAGTATTCTTGGCATTTCGGTTTATCTTCCCATGTCAGAATCTCGATGAGACTTTCGGGGACAAGTAAGCTATCTTCCATTGCCTTTTTTCCCATCTGGGTCACAGCCAGTTGGCCTAAAGTCGCCAAAGCCTTCTCCGACAAATCTTTTTCGGACATCAAGCGCAGTAGAGTTTGTACCCCTCCGTTTGAGACCAAAGGTCCTGCATTGTCCAGCACGGGAGAGAGGTTGTTTAAGGTTGCTAGGCATGTCTCCTTGGTCTTGATATCCGTAGAATCCGAGTTCATAGTTTGGATCAGAAACGGTAGAATCTCTGATGAATCGACAGGGAAATGTGCATTCGCTAGAGATGACAACAAATGCAGAAGCTCTGCGAATTCGTGCCTCGATGATTGGTCGAGGGCTTCGACGTTTTCCGGCAGTTTCGAACATATTCCAGCATTCACCATCAGCGTCTTGTTCCTGGAGTAGGAGAAAAGAAGCCGAATCATAGTTAGGAGGGAAGCAACTAAACCCTAGCTTTTCTTCTTCCTTTATATCTATATATATATATATATGTGCGTGTGTGTGTATCTCTTAATTTGACAAAACTTTGGAAGTAATCCGACAAATTGGGATTTTAACGAAGTTCTGGTAGAGCGGTTGGATCACACGTCATAAGACTTCAAGTCAATGGAAAACTCCAAAATAAAATAGCTAACCTGCTGTATACGCGCATATATATATATATATATATATATATGTTAGTTTTAGATCCTCTACATTTATATTAATTCTCGTACGAGCATTGCTAGATTGTGTCTTAAGATTGTCGATGCATCGCGCATATGCTCAGTTGCGTATGGCATATATACAAATCAAATAAATGGTATTATATGATAAAATTCATATTTATATTTCAACCAAAAAAAATTCATATTTATATAGATGCACACATGCGAATGTAAAAATGCGACCTAACCAAAAAAACAATTAATTTAGCTGTATATGACTAAATATGTCAACGAGATTCTAAGATTTCGGGTCTACGTTGAAAGTCAACACAATAATACATTTTTATAAAATCTGATGATTATAATTATATATTCATATGTATACACACGCATATGTAGGTATATGGAATCTGATCTCCAACTTTACCATGATCTGATTGGTCAGAAAAGAAGTGGACATTTAGCAAGAGACAGAAATGGTTGACGAACTAACGGGATTTGTCTCTCTCCCCACTAATCTGTCCTACTCGGAAAATCTTGGTTGTCATTAAATTAAATATTTATTTTTGGTAATTAAATTAGAAGTCCATTGTAATCCGTAACGTTATTTATTACTAATAAACATGAAGAGTTTTATTTTAATTGCTGTCCTACTCGGAGTATATGTTCATTACATTTAATTATTAGTGTTAATTTAAATGCTAATTAACTCAATCATAATATGTTTATAGAAGTAAAAATAAACACGGCATTAGAGAATATTACGTTACCCATCCGTACTAGATGGTATACAAAGTATATACGTGCACATTTTTCTACAAAAAATATACGTACAAATGAAAAAATGTGAAAATGCGATATCTAACTTATTGCATAGATCGAAATATTCCCTAACAAAATATAATAGACAAAGAAGGCCACGTGAGAGAGTGAAACGTCCTCCATTCTTCAAGAGTCAAAGTGGACCTCCCCGTGGGATCCACTATATATTCGCTTATTTCAATTATTTGTGCTAATAATGATATGAGGAATTGCACCTAAAGTCAAAATCGTCCGACTAGATGACTTTGTATATATTCATATATTTGAATATTAATTTCTTGAACAAACTAAAATTAAATAACCATGCTCTGCCCACTAAATCTATATTTCTTAGAAAATTCAAGCGGCATGGTTCCAAAAGGCATAGTCCCAATTTTTCAAAAACGCAATGAATGGGATAAGGCCTAACAATATCATTTCATGTTGACCGTGAACCAAATCCAAAACGTCTTAATCTAAAATGATGATATTCCAAGAAATGTATAAATCTTTCAAGCCTAGCTTTTAATAATTTCCATTTTTTTCACTTAAGTTGATGATTTTATACACAATTTTTTAATAGAAAAACGAACATGTAAATGATATTCAAGAAAATGACAAACTGAATACTTAGTTTTAATTGTCATGCATCAAGAAAAAATGTCTTTCAAATCCCTGTTTTACTTCTATTTGGTCTTTTAAATTAATTCTCTATATCATGAAAATCATAAATATTAAATAGTTAAGGTGCTTCGTATTCCAAATTTTGTATATTTTCATTCAATTCTAATACGATATTTAGGCAAACCATTTAGACAGAACTTACGTGTAAGTTCCATGAGCAAGCTGAATAAGAGCCCTCACGGCGGCTCTCCGGTGGCCGGCGACCTCCGTCGCTGCCATGGAAACAAGAACCTGAATGACGCCGAGCTCCGCCATTAGCCGCCGAGTCTTCCCGTCTTCTCCGGCGAGCCTCTCGATTTCTCCGGCGGCGGCTTCCTTCTCGTCCCAGCTCCCGAAGTGAAGCTTCTTCACCGTCCTCTGCAACATGACGGTTTCTTCTTCATTACCACCCTCCGATTTCCTCTCCGCGGTCTCCGGCGAGGCTTGGTCGGAATCTTGGTGGGTGATTCTTGATTTTTCCGGCGAGGAGGGCGGAAGGGTTCGTTTTCTGGGTGTTGCTCTGTTTTTCATCAAGATACCGCGAATTCGGGTGAAGAATTGGAGCTTCACGTATTGAAGTAACCAAACAGAAGAAGAAGAAGACATGGGTTGTGATCGAGACGAAGACATGATGGAGATGAAGTACTGTTTTGTTAGTGGGTTCTTGTATGGCTTTTATATTCTGTCAAATATTAGGCACAGCATTGATCCCGTGACATTGTTTTTTTTTTTTAAATTTATTAAATATGAAAATTAATTGGTGTTTTTATTAAATTTATTAAATATGAAAAGTAACTTGTGTTTTTTTTATGTCCTGGGTATGGGTTGTTATTAATCTTTTTTCTTTTTAATTAAAACAGAGTTGAACCGTAATTATGCCCCGTCGTTGACAAGTATGGCCTTTTATTGTCCTTATGGTCCTCCAGAAAAATATACATGTACATATATATCTATGTGCCCTTATATATATATATATATATATATGCATATATGTACATGTATATATATCGTTTTCTCTAGGTCAAACGGGTGACGCTTTGTGCATTTATTATAATCTTTTTGGCCGGCTATATCTATATATTTTTTTAATAATTCAGAAATTCATCCCATCTTTATACCATTTATATATTCCAGAGAATCGGAAAAGTGCAGGTGAAAAGTGTCTCTCTCCACGTTTGAATTTAAACACGGGATAAAAGCATGTTTTGCATGTTCTATTAACACTATGCCACCCAAGTTTAGATTTATATATCTATATCTATATATACTAATATGTAGTTGTTTCGATATTGGCTTATTCCAAAACTAATATTCCAAAAAATTGTATTTTCTATCATGCTATAATTTGGTGACAAATATTGAAACTAAAATTAAAAAAAAAACACTCTAAAAATATCAATAAAACATTAAAGATCGCAATATTTTTCACTTATATTGATCGAATTATTCGAAGAGCATATGATTATCTTGAATTGGGTGAATATGGAATAGAATCATTGATTTGGAAAGAAACCCAAAGTTTTTGAAATGAAAATCAACCTCATGGAATATCACATTTTTAGAAACTAAAGCAAACCTTAGTTTCTAAATATTCTTTCTCAGAAAATCATCCGGAAGATTCAGAAATCGAATTTTAAAAAAAAATAATCGTAAAAGGATTTTGAACTCTCGAATCATAAGCGGTTTCCATTGCAGAGAAAGAACGAAGAAGGGATATTGAAGCAAATTTCCTCTTCCAATTCAAAAATATTAAACACGTGGTCTTTTATTAAGAGAAATGGAGAATCAATAAACCGGACTAAACCGATTTCCTAGTATTCAAATAAATATCATATTTGTAACCCTCTCGTCTTAGACAAGAGCAAAGAAATTCATATACCCTCTTGAAAACTACTAAATATAAATATATTTAAAAAATTTACCATTTCTTAATGAAATTTGAAAAATAATAAATAAAAAAAAGGCTAATTTGATGGAAGAAGGAATATTAGGTACCCCACATGCAGGGGAACACCCTTGTCCCTTCTTTATTCTCACTAAACACGACAACACATCAATACTTAATTTTTTGATGGGATTATTGATTAATCACTTAATTAATAATCGAAACATTTTGGCTTAACTAATAGGATCATGTGTATGTGTGGATTTGAGTATAATTAAGTTTAATTATGGCTAATTAACGTAATACTATTGTTTATTGTTGAAAAAAAATCGCCCTATATGTATATATAATAAACTCTTAATATTAAGAAAATCTAAACTACATATAAAATATGATATTGCACAAAATTTAATATCATAGAAATTATAGATATGAAATATGTTCTAGTGAAATTAGACGATTATTTATTTATTTTTAATATAATATTGGTTCTACAAACAGTTTTTGTCTTCAACGTTTTCTTTATGTCTGGAAGTTATTGTTACTCCAAATATATATATATATATATATGTAATAGAAAAAGTAATATTATTTAAGTTCTTCATATTCAAAGGCAATGTTTTAGCAAATTTCAATAATAAAAAATATTTGTTCTTTTCTTTTTTTTTCGGATTCCGGATCCATTTTTAATTGGTATATATACCCCCAAATTCAGACGGAGGACAATATGAAAATGGCGTAAGAATATGAAAACCCCATGACTACTAATACTATACCACATTCACCATTCGAAATCGTTAGAAAGATTAAGAAGAATTATTATATATTTGTTGTACACTAATTTTATTGCATACGACATTTTCATCTCTTTGTAAAATACGTTAATTAATACCATAATCAGACGAAAACAATATAGGGTCCATTAAGATATGACGTCTCATCAGTTTTGATTTGAAATGAGAGTTTACAATAGTCTCTGGATGAAGTTACCGAGAAAAAACAAAGATTTTATAAAGGCCGTTGGAGTTTTTAGAGTTTTTACAATCCAAAAACCAAAAAAATTATCATTCAAGTTTTCACAAATTGTTTTTCCTAAAAACTTGGAAAACTATTTTAGTGGAAAAATCAAAGAAAAATCAAAAGCTACCTCTTTTTAGTTTTCAAATATTATAGAATCCAAAAACCAAAAACCAAAAATTAAAAACCAAAATCCAAAAACTAAAACGAAAAATCCAAAATAAAGCCTTGAATGGAGATAGTTTTTATTTTGGATTTTTTGTTTTAGTTTTTGGATTTTGGTTTTTAGTTTTTGGTTTTTAGCTTTTAGATTTTATAATATTTGAAAACTAAAAAAAAGTAGCTTTTGGTTTTTCATTGATTTTTTTCCCTAAAATGACTTTCCAAGTTTTTAGGAAAAGTAATTTTGTAAAAACTTGAATGATTTTTTTTTTTGGTTTTTGGATTCTAAAACTCCAAAAACTCCTACCATTCAAGGTCAAAACTCATCCCAGCCAAAATAAAATAAAAAGAGTTGAATGTTTAACCGGTGAAAAGGAAGAGTAAATCGTTTATTCCGTCCCTATTTCAAATTTAAATTTGGTGAAAAAACGTATAATTCAAAGTATATGATTAATTTATGACTCCATAATTAGTTGAATCTTGGTAAAGAATACCGGATTATAAAAAAAAATGGTCTCATAATACCATTAATATTTATTGGATAGGAATAGAACTCACCAAATTAACCCGAAAATTGGGTATATGATTGGGCTTGGAAAAGGCTTTGGGCTGACTAAATTAGGCCCAATCACTAAACATTCCAAAGCCATAAATTGCCATATTTGCCACCTGTCGTTCGTCCGAGTCAAACTTGACTTTTATTTTTTTTTTGCTCGAGTCAAATCTGACAATTTTATGTGTATCACAAGCTTTTTTATTATTTTATGTTTCTTTTTTTTTTAAAAATTTCATCCTTAATATTGTTGCTTTCCCTATTGCATTACATTGCATTGGGACCCACCTCCACATGCTGAAATTTTATAGACCCATGGAAATGGTCCAACAATTTATTTGAATTTTTAAAAATTCTATATGAAAATAGTTTTCTAGACCAATAATTAATTACGATCTCTACATTTTCTTTGTGAATTCATTTTAATGTTGAGCAATAAAACATATTATGCTATTGAGTGTCCTGTCCATTGACATAATTGTAAAATAATATATATATTATTATTATTTTATACTCGTCTCCTTTTATATATGCAAAGTATGCAATGATGACACCTGCACATAGATAATGAGGTTTTTTTGGATAAATTAATAAATAAATAAAGGGGTTTGGTCTTATCCTTCTTCGAAATTTCCATGGAACTATAATAACCATTATTGAAATATAACATTAACAGTGTTAGTTATGACGACATTATCAACTTCCAAAACATGAAAACTGCCGAAAAGCTTTTACCAAAAAAAAGAAAAGAAAAGGAAAACTGCTAAAAAGCTGTTTCTGGGCAATTTCTGAAATATTTCTTGGCAACCACTTGGACCGCGTAATTGGAAATCTTATTATTCAAAAATAAATATGGACCCAACATACGCATACAATATATATATATATATATATATATATATGCAGAAATTAAAAACACGTCTTGATTTCAAGTTATAAATAGGTAGAAAGACAGCGGTGCCTAAAATCACAAGAAAGCAATGGGTTTGAAAAAAGCACTGATGATTTTGTACTTTCTGCTCTTCCTTCACTTCCTCACCGTTCGCTCACGACCCTTACACGCGGCCTCCGGCGGTCCCAACCTCCCGGCTCCGGCGGAGATCGACGGCGATGGGTTTGCCGGTAAAACACGTGAAATCACGGCGGTCGTCAGGAGAGGCGGCGGAGCCCGTGGCGGAGGCGGAGGCGGTCGTGGGAGAGGATTCGGCGGCCGTGGCGGCCGTGGCGGAGTGATTCCAGTTTATGCGGCGGGGTCCCACCGCCGAGGACATAGTTCTACCGGTCAGAGTCTCAAACCGGGATCCGGTTCTGTCGGTTTCTTGGGATTGTCGGTTTGGGCAGGTTTGATGTTTATGTTTTAGGGTTTGGTTTTTTTTTCTTTCGGGGTTCCGGTTTTCGTAAGATTGGATCAACACGGACGTAGTGTAAGTGCGCGTAATGAAATGTCTAAAAACTAGTTTGGTAATGCAGACATATTAGGTTTGATTAAGGTCGGTTTGGTTTGATTTAATATACTTAATTTTAAATATATATATATATATATATATATAATTATTTGTTGTTTATTTATTTTATAATAGAGCACGAGAAAATTTCTCCCATTGATTATATATTTTCAGATCAACCGTTTAAATCCGTTTAAATAAGTTTTCAGTATTGTAAGTTGTAACAACACACAATGACAAAAGCCATTTGTGTATTGATGCAAGGGCCGACGGTCCGACCAACAAATACAAATATTTATTGAAATAAATAATTAATGGTATCGTTATATGGTGCGACCATAAAACCTTATATTAGTATCTACTTGGAGTGCTAATCAACTTGCCACTACATTTTCTTATTTTTACCACATGTTAATTTTAGCAATGTCCTTGAAGAGGACAAAAAATGGCCGAAAACGTTTCTTATCGTTGTTTAATTTAAATTTATACGCCATTTGTCAATCACTTTTGGTTTTTAATATAGGTGTCACTTTTGAAAATTCCACACCACATTTAGAAAAATAAAATATGATAAAGTAATTAGCGCACCATTAAGTAAAGCGTTATCCTCTAATTTCTTAAAAAAAATGCGGCATCTTTGAATTAAAATACAAAATTATAACTTTTTTATTTAATATCTAAAGTAGGTATGGAAATAATAAAACTGAAAATATTTAATTACACGTCCAACAAATCAAAAGTATTTAGCCGTAAAGGGTGTTTTTCCGATGGCGCCCATGGGTCCTATGTCTTTGTTTTCCAACCGAACCTATATAAGCTCTGATAAGGTTAGAGCTCACATATACATACATATATATATATATATATACCCCTCTTTGTTTTATAAGTAAAGTTGAATATTTTTATGTTGTAGAAGCCTTTCTTCATCTTCAATGTCATTAAAAAAATATAAGAAAAATATTAAAAACACCTATAATTTTAAAATATATCGTAACAAATTCTAAACTGCAAATCCACATAAATATTTATTTTTATAAAAACATTAAAAATATATATTTCCTATTAATTTATACATATTGTTATTTAAATTGAAAATATCTTTAAGATATTAATTTATTCTTAAAAAATACTTTTAAAATTCAGACTTGAAATGTATAAATGATCTAATATATATGATATATTTTTTTTTATGTTTTTACAAAGATGGTTTGTTTATTTGGATCTAACGATAGAAGTTGTTTTAATAAGACCGAATCTTATGGTGTGACTCGTTAAAATAGATTAGATAGTTAGTTTCTTCATTTGTAATGTTCTAAGTATAAATAGATTATAACATCTAGATTGGAAAGGAATTTTGCTCTATCCTTTACCGAGCCACTCAAATTTGAATATCTTCACTATATCTTTTATCGGTTGACTCACTCAATCTTAAGTATCTTCAATAGTAAAATGTTGCGAGAAGAGATATAAAAATTTTTCGAGAGACACCAAAATGAAGAATTCGATAAGGGAAGGAAGTATTTCCCTCCAATATCCTGAGATGTTACATGCAAACATAAGGAGTATGGGAAGCTGTGGAATCCCGAGGGCCTTTGCTCCGTGGAGTTTTCACAAGGATCTTCAACCGAATATTGAAAGCTTCGATCGGTTCATGAGCAGAGGATATTGAAGGGAAACCCTTTCTTCTCTCATCGAATCCTCGTTTCGGTGTTTCACGGAGGATCTCTCTTCACCACAGTCTCTTCACCACGTGCAAAAGGGTCGGGGCAGGTTACAGTTCTGCACGGAGGGGCTCGGCTCCGAGAGCTCTGACGAAGCAGAGCACATAACAACATTGTTTGCTTTTTCGAAGAAGCTAACTGGTATCACCATGCTCAACTCCTTTGCAAGCGTCTGCATCCTGTGAAGCATTACATGTAAAAGATATCGTGAAACAACGTTAGGACACTTGATAAATCTCAAAATCCCACTCTCTAAATTGGTGAAAGTACGCAACGACACTTAAGGCATAGCGAGACAGATGTGTCAAGATGAACAGGACAGTTGATGAAGTAATTCAACCTTGCAATTGTGGGATGGTCCTTGTAAGGCTTGGCTCGTCGAAAGAAGTCCTCTCTTTGAGCTTGACAAAAGTAATATCCCTCGAAAAGCTCCTGTATTGACAACACATGGATGTAAGAATGTAAACTTAATGTAGAAACCAAACACAACACCTCCTTTCATTGAGCCAGGCAACATCAATCACAAACCCTAATGTCCGGAAACAGGTAACATCAATCGGACGCCAGTGATGAAGAACCCCCCGATTCATATTCAGACCGAGCATTCTGTCCATACTTAAATACTGGAGAGACAGCATAAGACAGTCACGAGATTCTATAAATCAAATACACTACAACTAGGTTGAGGTAGCAACGTATACAGCTTGCTCGCCCATACCTACAAACAAGTGTCTTGGCTCTTTCCTTTTCCTTGTGCGTTGAGAAAACGCAGACTTTATGACAGAACAAAAAACACAGATGACAACGAAATGGGTCACTTGAACTAACTATTAGAACCCAAACTAGTAAAGTGTAGCTATGTCGTTCAGAATTGAAGTCAGTGACAAGCGGGAGGCCGTGTGTTCGGTTCGAGAGGTACATAGAAGACGGGAGGTTCGTGCTGATCGAGACTTGGGTTCCGACACACGAGGTTTTGCGAGCTAGCAGGGAAGGTGGACGGTTAAGGCTCAGTTTTGTTCAGATGGATGATGATGAGAAGTTTCAAGAGCAATACAGAGACGAAACCGAGGATGGGAATCGGGAAACAAGCAAGGGAGAACGAAGAGAAGCGTGAAAGTAAAGAAACCGATCGAGAGACGAACCTGGATTATGTCGAAGGATTCCAATTCCATGTCCTTGGCAAAATGTGCCTTCGTTGCTTTTTCTTGTAACTCTTTCTGCATCAAATTCTCTTCAGGGACAGAGTAAGAGACAATCTACAAGTGTTTTTCCTCACAAAATCCAATGTTGTTTTGCAAGAACTCAACATGCTGTTTAAACGCCTTAGTGTACACTCACTCCCTAAACCCAAACCCTAATACTACTGATAACTCTCTCCGGAGAAGACGATATAGCCACAGAGAATTCTTGAATTGTATGCATTAAGAATGGGAAACCAAGGGAAATCCGTTATGGGTTCTTTATTATTGGACTGTTAAAGCTGAAACAACAATAGTTATTCAAAAGTGACTGAGGCATAGTTTTTTTTTTACCTCAATACTTTAGCAAACAGCAGCATGAAACTATAGATTGCCGTCCAAAGTCAGAAGCACCTTGTATAAATCAGGACGGCGATCCCGGAATACTCCCCAACTACTCCTCTTGTACTTGATCTTGTCGAGATCGAATTGCGCCACAAGAACAGCTTCCTCTTTGTCATCGGCCTCGGCTACAATCTCGCCTGTTGGTCCTGTCATAACCCAGCGATGGGAAATATGTTAGCTCGTATGGAAGATGAATCAATCTGCATTTAAAATTTCAAAGTCAATGGTATAACCTAAAATTCTGTTAAATGTCGGTACCTGCTATGAAAGAATTCCCGTAGAAAGTGATCTGACTGAGCCCGTGCTCTGTTTCAATTGTTTCTTTACCTACGCGATTTGAAGCTACTAAGGGCACCTGAAACCCGGCATATTCCTCAACTTGTTAGATAACCATCACAAAACTTAATTGTTAAACGACTTGTTTAATGGAGTCAGTCCACAACCATATCCATAACCAAAGTAGTAGAACTAACAATAGCTTACCACGTTAGCTCCAGCATGCCCCTGCATCACTCTCTTCCAGTGATCACGAGAATCAAGGCCAGAGTCTTGCGGCTCGGAACCAATGGCGGTGGGATAAAACAATATTTCCGCACCCTGAAGAACCATTGCTCGAGCTGCCTCGGGAAACCACTGATCCCAGCATATAGCTAAACCGACAATGCACCACACGCTTTGGTTTTCATGCCATCAACTTGCGATATTATGCGTAACAGAGAACTGCTATATGAAATTATAGACGTTTGAATAGAACATCTTACCTACTCCGATTTTCGCAAACTTCGTCTGGAAGACCTGTCCAGATCAAGGAGTCGTTATCAAAACTTTGTAGTAAAAAACATGACTGACAATAGATATGTTGCAATTTAACATTCTTCTCTGTCACATTCACCTTGAAGCCAGTGTCCCCGGGATTGAAGTAAAACTTCTCCTGATAGCCTGAAAGTTAAAAAATACAAAAGTAAAAGATAAAGCTAGCATAAATTCCAGTTATTTCCAACTCCAAAGGTGACTCACCAGGTCCATCGGGAATATGAGACTTCCTATAAAGTCCCAGGTCAGTTCCATCAGCATCAATTACGGCTATCGAATTGAAATAAGCATTGTTTGCTTTTTCGAAGAAGCTAACTGGTATCACCATGCTCAACTCCTTTGCAAGCGTCTGCATCCTGTGAAGCATTACATGTAAAAGATATCGTGAAACAACGTTAGGACACTTGATAAATCTCAAAATCCCACTCTCTAAATTGGTGAAAGTACGCAACGACACTTAAGGCATAGCGAGACAGATGTGTCAAGATGAACAGGACAGTTGATGAAGTAATTCAACCTTGCAATTGTGGGATGGTCCTTGTAAGGCTTGGCTCGTCGAAAGAAGTCCTCTCTTTGAGCTTGACAAAAGTAATATCCCTCGAAAAGCTCCTGTATTGACAACACATGGATGTAAGAATGTAAACTTAATGTAGAAACCAAACACAACACCTCCTTTCATTGAGCCAGGCAACATCAATCACAAACCCTAATGTCCGGAAACAGGTAACATCAATCGGACGCCAGTGATGAAGAACCCCCCGATTCATATTCAGACCGAGCATTCTGTCCATACTTAAATACTGGAGAGACAGCATAAGACAGTCACGAGATTCTATAAATCAAATACACTACAACTAGGTTGAGGTAGCAACGTATACAGCTTGCTCGCCCATACCTACAAACAAGTGTCTTGGCTCTTTCCTTTTCCTTGTGCGTTGAGAAAACGCAGACTTTATGACAGAACAAAAAACACAGATGACAACGAAATGGGTCACTTGAACTAACTATTAGAACCCAAACTAGTAAAGTGTAGCTATGTCGTTCAGAATTGAAGTCAGTGACAGTACTCTTAATCACGCAACAATTACCTGAATAAGAGCGATATTCGCCCCCTTTGCGTGTGCCTCTCTAACAAGCCTGTATACGCAAACGAGCATCTTCTCAGACACCGAACATATTCAGACAGAGAATACTAAGCAAACCCTGTATTAGGTATCTGATTTCGATCTTAGAGAGTTCAACGTAGCCAAGATCGAGTACGAAAACCAAACGATTACAGGAAAATTGTGATTCGATGTCCAAAAACAGACAAAATCAACTGCCTAACATCGCCGAGCAGGCTACAGAAATGTTTTTTTTTTTGTTGCAGAAATCAAAATTTCGGAGACAGAGACAAGGAGCAACAAAGATGCTGAAACAAGGGGATTCGTGCCGGGAGAGAGACGAACCGTTCGGCAGTGGCCAGATTGTCGGAGACATCGTCGGAGCAAGCGAATTGCAGAGCTGAAACCACCACTTCTCGAGCTTTTCTCCCTCCATCTTCCATACTTCTCTCTCTCTTCTCCAATAATGCTTAGGCGAGTGAGAGAGGATGACAAAGACCGACGGCGGCGGTGACTGACAGGAGGAAGGGAATATGAAATAAATTTTCTGCAAACGCAAAAACACCTTAGCGTTAGAAACGCAGAGCTACGATTCCCCTCGCGTCTGCGTTTCAAAACACTAAACTAGATTACCAATTTACCATTACAAATTTCGATTTTTTTTAATTATTTTAATATTCAAATCAGATTTTTTTATATATATAAAATATATATATATATATATATTTTTATATTAAACTTAATTCAGATATTATAATATCAACCATAAAGCCCTTCCAATCAGGGGGTGCAAATGGGCCGAGCCAGGATTTCAACCATGAAAAGATTTTGGTCGAGCCATAATTTTTCTGATTCCCAAAAAAAAAAAATCACAAATGCAGCCCGTTTTACATCCATATTTCAAAATATAAATATATATCCGTTTGTAAGAAAAGTCATACTACGATACATTTTTGACACATAGGACTCAAAAGTAAAACAATTGTTTTTGTTAAACATATCCTAAAATTATTATTATTATTATTATCAAATGAATGATGCATATCTCGAATTTAGTAAATATACATCGGTCCTAAATCACATTGGCCTTAAATTTCTAAACGTGATCACTTCAAAGAATTAAATGAGTTATTAGTTAATGTGGAAATTAATCCATGGTGAAATGACGAAAGCTACTGTTTACATTCTTTATTTTTTAATATACTACGAGGTGTCCTGAACGACGTTCAACTATAAACCGGTATCTTTTTAAGCCTTGCACAGACTGATCATCGTTCATCTCTCTAGGTCAACGCATTAAACGGTAGAAGGCTGACCTGAAGGGTTACTCCATTCCCTACTTACATTCTTTCTAAATCTTAACTCACACACAAAATTATTTCTTTGGACATAAATATGAAAACGATATATACGGCATCTTACGATGGTTCATATATATTTTCTGAGATCCGAGTTTACTTTTCCAAGTCGAGAAAATTATGAAATGGGCAATACCCTAATGTCGTTTAAGGTGTCCCCACTTTGTTTAATGAGTTATGGAGGCCTTATGAATAATCAAAACACTCGCGTCATGATTAGAAAAATGGTCAAAACACTTTTAATTCAAAGGTGATTATCAACTTATATACTCGCTCACGTAGCGTTTTCTTTAGATCCTATCCAAATGGCAGATTTCACGAGAGCGATCACGGCCTTTTATTTTGGGGTTTTGTAATTAAAAAAAAAAAGATAAAGAAATCTTGGTTTCTAGGATAGACAAGGGAAATAGAAGAACATTGTACTACGTTACCCACTTTCGTGTATATAGAGTTGTCACAGAGAGAGAGAGAGAGAGAGAGAGAGAGAGAGAGAGAGAGAGATGAACATAGACCACTCACAGATTTGGAATCTGTTGATTAATTAGTGTAAATGAAAGGCAACGAAATCCCTGATGATTAGGTCGTAGCAGCTTGGGCCATAATGAGTTACGTGAAGTCTGTCTCGCTCGACGTATTTAGGAGAAACCTTAGAAAATTAATAAGGTAACGTTGATTAAATTATTTTGTGTGATTATGAGATTACAACACATTCGTACGTTTCATAGCTTTGTCGGTAGCATATTCATTATCACAGGACTTGAAAGAAGCTCAAACCCTCCAAAACCCAGAATTCCAAATCTGAAAATAAGCCGCATGTTTTTTTTTTTTTACATGTTCTGCGTGGTGCGGTTAAATGCTTTTCAGTCCATTGATCTTACTTTTAATTTTTTTTTAATTGATTAACTATAAAACATCCTCAAACACCTAATTAAACTAATCTAAGTTTTAAAATTTCAGACCGAAAATTACTTCATACTATATTTTATGCCTAAAAGGGTCCTCAGATTTTTATGTTAATGCGTATATTCTTAACTGTCTCTTAATTTCAGCGCAGAGAATCATTTTTGCCCTAAAGCATAGTTACTAAATGCCATGTTTTAGATTTAATAATTGTTATTTATTTTGATTTTAACGACGTTATGTGCGAAGTTTACATCCATTCATACTTCGAGTTTTTGTTTAAAGAGAGCTCATGAGAATTCGAAATTTCGGGCTTTAAAATAGTTGCCATTTTAGGCTTAGATCTGAAAGCTAGGGTTTGGAGACATTTTTGGGGAATTTTAAGAATTATGCTTTTAATTTTTTGTTAAAATATCCCCTCTTTAAAACCGTGTTATATATATATATATAAACTATTGGTCATTAAATGGTGTATATTAAAACTCAAATTATCTTGGACAATTTCAAAGATACTATCTAATCCGTAAATTTCATGTTAAAACATCTCAATAAAAATTTTCAAAAATAAATAAGAGTTACCATCTATTGAACATTCTTAGAATTAATATCCATTTCTATTAAAAGCAATCTGTATTTGTAGGGTATCCGATAAAAAAAAACCTAAGGTTATCAACAGATAGATGGCCAAATAAGCACTCATACCGGAATCATTATAACCGGGATCCAAAATGTATTTGATTCATTTTTTTCCTTCATTAATTAGGAAAATTAAAGACTTATTCACGCTCCAAGTGGAATTTATGTTTCGCGCAATTTGCTTTCTTAGACAGATAAATCATATATTTAGTTTTTTTTTTGTATGTATGTATGATAGAAAACATAATCATATATGTATACACACATATAAATAAATATGTTAAGTTTTCTAATTAGATTAGGTGATGTATTCTTGTATGATGCAAAACCGACGCGTATATATTTTTTTCGTGGCATAATATATAGAAAATGTCGGGCATGGCAATTTGTTCTGCAAATCTAACGTTGTATGAGAGTTGAGGATTTTCTAAAAAAAAAACAAAAGAATAGAAGATATCTTTGGCGAATCTAGGGTTTCTACTTTCTAGGTGTATAAGCACTTTTTGGCACGTGTATGTTATATATAATATTCGAAACTAGGGTAATTAATTATCTCTTCTCCTTCTGCTATGATTTGAGCCAAATTATTAATACAACAAAAAAATAATAATGGCAACGAATAAATTATAATCATGGATCAAAATGACGAAAATTGATATAATTAGATAAAAACATATTTTAACGTTGTAGATATATTTTGCTAATATATGTATGTATATATATATATATATATATATATATATACGAGTGTTTCCCTAGAGGCCTTTAATAACGATATCTCTCCCCGACTCCAAAAGCACCCCAAAAGGCCACACACCACGACCATGAATTACCGTAGGGACTCCTATCTCTTGGAAAATCACACATTCAACAACAACGAAGAACATGACCATGATCTCATGGACATAGCAATGGACATGATCATCAACCCTTTCACTCCTTCCTCTTGCCCTTCTTTTCTCCCACCAGAAACCCTAATCCACCTCCCTTCCCCTTCCACAACGACGACCCTTTCCGCTAACGATCAAAACAATACCCGACATCACCAAGAAATCGTCTTTAGCGGTGATCAAGAACTCGAGGAAGAGGAGGAGGAGCTCGACCCAGTCAAGGAGCTAACATACATGGTCGCGGCCATGCAGCCAGTGGATATCGACCCTCTCAACGTTCCAAAACCCAAGAGACGCAACGTCTGTGTCTCGAACGACCCGCAGACCGTAATTGCTCGCCGCCGCCGTGAGAGGATCGCCGAGAAGATACGTATCCTCAAGAGGCTCGTGCCAGGCGGCGAAAAGATGGATATAGCTTCAATGCTCGACGAAGCTGTCCATTACGCCAAGTTCTTGGAGCGATGGATCCGCCGACTTCAGTCCATCCATCCGCCGGATTTCGGCTCCTCGGCCTCAGCTACAGCTGCAGGAGATCAAGAAGATGTTCCTCTTCGTTAGCTGGATTTATCTGGCAAGGGAGGTGATTAAATTTGAAATGATAATATATATGATTGGTTTGGTCGCGGTTATATGGGTTTTATTGCGATTATGCAATTTATGGGTTGTGTAATATTGCAAGGATAATGTTAGGGTTTCATAATTGGTGCATGAATAAGGAGGTGTGTCTAATATCATAATGATTAAATTTGGATTGATGATTAATAACGGTGATCATTTAGAGATATATATGTATAAAAACCTTGTACTTCAAGTCCATTTACTGTCCGTATTGTGCGTGTATAATGGATGCGATAGTTTCGGTGTTTGATTGTACATATGCAAGTTTGGCTTTCGTGCGACAGAATCAATATAATGTATCTTCAATTGAATATTATGTTTTTGTTTTTATTTTTTACGGTGTTTTATGGAAATTTTCTATGTAATTGATTGATTGCCTGATTTAAACTTGTGTCATTAGCCAGACAATATTTGATTATAAGATGCAATGCGATATTTAAACTGTGTTTTTAGGATTTGTGTGTTTGTTTGTAGCTCTCCAGATGTTTAATTTGGGCAATGTTTGATTGAAAGAGACAATGCTCGGTTTTAGTATCGGTTCGGTTCAAAACAATATCACTGTATGAATATCAAATAAATATCAAACCATAGTATTTATATATATATATATATATATATTGGTTGATATATACTGTTTGCTTTGGAAACGGATTATTTGATTCTATATATAAAAAAATATACTAAAATAAGATCAAACGTTATCTGTTTTGGTTCGGTTTTGGTACAGATCGGATAGGAACTATATTCCTAAACCGAAGTGCGCACCCCTAGCTACCCTTCAGAATCCTCCTTGTGAACGCTAACGCCATAATCCGGCGAGCACTCCGACAGCATATCCTTCACCACCCGGTGCACGATAACCCTCGGCGGCTCCACCGCTGCCACTTTCTCCGACTCCATGCCTCTCTCTCGCGATCCTTGCGACATTTTCCAGCCTGTCGTTTGGGCGAAATCATGTGGGCCATGATTAGGCCGACTCGGCCCAATTATCTAAATCGGACCAGGTGGGCCGTTTATTGGGTCAAATTGACCCAAATATATAAACCGGCCCATATTGAACCGCGCTCATCGGTTATTAATTACTAACGAGTCAACTTCACGCGCTAAATCTAACCGTCCGATTAACTGACCATAACCCACGCCGGCGTAATCTCCACCCTCCATTACTCTCGCGTGTTCCATTAATTAATCACTTTAAATTCCATCAAACACGTTACACGCGAATTAAAAAAAAGGCGGAACAAAACAAGAAGAATCCGTCGTCTTCTTCAACCCCTAGAGATTGAGATAAAGATCAGAGAGCAACAAACCAGAATTTTCCAGAATCTAGCCGTTTCAGGAATCGCAACTGTTTCTACCGCATCTGCTTTCGATGTCGCACTCTAATCAGTATGTTCCGTCGGCGCCGGAGATGCCGGAGTCGTATAAGCAACAGTTCTCTGGCGGAGACAGATACGGTTATGCGTATTCCGGAGGTGGTTGGGGTCAAGCTCCTCCGCAGCATCAGTACAGCGCAACGTTTCCGCCGGGGACGCACCCGGACGTCGTGAGGAGCTTCGAGGGCGGAGACAGAAACCGTAGTGGATTTTTGGAGGAGACGGAGCTCCGACAGGCTTTGTCGTTCTCTGGGTACGGAGGGCTTAGTGCGAGGACGATAAGGTTGCTGATGTTTATCTACAAGAGCCCTGGAGATCCTCTTTTGCGGCTTGGTAAGTTGATTTGTGTATCTTTTCCGGGTTTTTTTGTTGGTTGGATGAGGATCAGGAATCTTCAACGTGATATTCAGGGAATGATCGTAGCTTTGAATTTGGATTTTGATCAATTCTTGAGATTCAGTTTCTCATAATAGAGATTTCAGGGAGAAGTTTTTTGGATTAGTTTATGGTAGGATGTGATTCGAAGATAGCAGTTTCCTCAAACAAGTATGTTTTCAATTACATTACAATTCATGGATCTTATTATGTTTAAAGTTCAGCTCCATCAATCATGTAGCACAATGAATTCTGATATGTTCATCAATGCGTATGGTACTATGATTACATTGCCATATAGATTCAGGTCTCAAGAAGAAATGAGGGATCCTTCGAAATATTAACAATTTCTTCGTTGCCCACATTTTCGTCTCTTGTAGTCACTGTGGTTCGTTTATATGAAATGGAACAGTTCATCTGATCACAAACTTCAGTGTACCAACTGTTGCCAATCTTCATTGATTTTGCTTTTCGATCATTGATGACATCTTGAGATACTTCTGTCCAGGTTTTGTTTGCTGTTAAATCTCATGAAGACTTGTTAACATTTTCAACTATTATAGGTCACAAGGAGTATGCCAACTTGTGGACTAGCCTTGGACAATGGCGGGTAAGTGTCTATCCGGTTGCTCCTCGATTTCTTGTTCTTTATGATTTTTCAGAACAAAAAAAAAATCGCTGGCATTAGCTGTTGTCTCTTGCCTATTTGCCCATTTTCTTCGGTAATTGTACCGTCTTTGTCGAAAAAGTTAGTGTGACAAGCTATTAAACTTTGCCATTAGCTTTTATCGTCATAACAACATTGTCAAACGACTTTCTAACTGTGTCGCTCCCATGTAATCTTTCTTCACAAATTCACATAGATTCTGGAGATACTACTTTATAAGGGGCATTTTTGTGTTTTATATGAGCGTAATTACCTTATCTAGGAGATACTACTACTTTATATTACGCTACCATTCGTATGAACCCAAAGTCTTGAGCAATCATTCGGTATGCTTTTTAGGCAATATTTGAGAGGTATGACAGAGACAGGAGTGGAAAAATGGACTCCACTGAACTTAAAGACGCTCTTTACCACCTCGGCTACATGCTTCCGTCCTCGGTCCTTCAGCTTATTATAACACAATACGACGATGGAAGAGGCCAAAGGGTTGAGCTCTGTTTCGACAGTTTCTTAGAGTAAAGTCTTCCCCTTGTATCATTGTTTTCCTACAGTTCTTGTTGGTTTGGATATTGATTTGATACTGAGTACATCTCTTCTGGTTCTTTTTCCTGTGCTTGCAGATGCGGGATGATTGTGAAGGTACGTAGTATTATGATCCATCACAAGCTTTCTCTTTTCCTTTAAAAGACACGCACACACGTATACACATATATTCGGCTTGTGTTTAAGAATAGATATGGTAATTTTGGGACCGACCCTTGAGCCTAGGAAGGATGTGGGTCGGGTTTCGATGAAAAGGGTCGGTCTCTTTTATCTCGAAAAGTGATTTCCTGCTTCCGAATCGACCCGACCTAATCATGGTTCTCTAAAATAAGCCCTGGTAAGAGCAGATACAATGTGTTTACAGGGATTGACGGAGAAGTTCAAGGAGAAGGATCCCGGGTACAAGGGCTCTGCAACTCTCTCCTATGATGATTTCATGTGCATGGTTGTTCCGTTTATCGCCTCCTACGATTAAAACCCTTTCCAAAGGCCAAACATTGTACATAGGAGAACGGTTCTATGCATACAACCATGTGATGCGAGATCAAGACTTGGACGTATCTGCTTGTGAATGAGTATGGTCTCTGTACTCTATTTGCTCTCAAGTTATTTCGGTCGTCGAAAATATTTTTTTTTATTAGACCAACTAAAAAAAAGTTGTAAACGGTCTAATCAGATGGCTTTAGTGTTGGGTTCCTTTTAGTTTTGGTTGTGGGCTGTGGCCATTGATGAATTCTTAGTGAACATAATTGAATCAAATTGAACCAAATCTATACTTCGATTTTGGAATTGAAATATATATATATATATATATATATATATATATATATCAAATCCAATTGAGAAACCAGAATCAACATCTGTTTTGCCATTACAAAATGGGAAAAATTTGTTCCAAAATCGAAAGGAACTCAAAACCTAACTAAACTAAACAAAATCTCCACATGTCATAGAGTTCACATCAGTTACATATTTTTCCAAATTGAACAGAACCTAAAGTGCCCAACCCTCCTTAAGTCCAAACTACTAAAGGATACATATTAGATATTAATGTGTGTGTGTATATATATATACACCATATATGCACTTGTATATTTGGAGATACTATTGGGTTCCCATATTTACTAATTTTTGTGTGAATTCATTCCGTTTTCCCTTAAACGTGCAACCCATACTTGGAATTTTACGAGAATTCATCCTATATTAATTATTGAATTCCACCCCCATTTATTTCGTTTTCTACCGACACCTTTAATGTTTAATGAACGATTGAAAATCTGTCGGAACATTTTTTTTTCCATCTAAAAACAAAAATTGTTTGGGATTTTAAATCCGGCGTTTCCTCTCTCTCTCTCTCTTTACATATTCATATCCAAAATATCTAAAATCAATTCAAAACGTATTTATATCTAATATGGTTTATAATCACATGATTTTTCTTGATATTCAAAGCATGATATTGTTTATATTATATATAATCCTGTGATTTTATTAGGTAGTCAATGGACAATTAATTGACAACCACTCGAATAACTTTTAGGATTCTCCATTTATTGGGGTTTTGAGGTGTATTTTCCGTATCCCTTCTTTATTTAATTCCACTAGACTCAACTTTGTTTCGTAATAAGATGCGCAAAATGTCTGCAATTTTTTTTTTAGTTTCTTAAATAACTTTGGCCTTGTGATCTATAGATTAATATATAGTAGTAACATTTAGGCTTGAAATTTTTGGATTTAGTTTCCATTCTTTTTTAAAAAAATTATTTTTTCATATTTTATTTTAGTTGACTCTATTCACAGTTAATTTATTCATATAAACATTTAATTCTAAAAATATATTTTATTTTTCGATTATTTATAAATGAACCTGACTAAATTTGTATTTGATTATTTTGGTTTAATGAAAATAACATTCGATTAGATTTTAGAGTGGGAAATACTTTGTTCTATTAGTATATAATCCAAAATATCCAACCTATTGAAATTAGTGTCCATGATCAAAACCATAACAATTTGAATCTAATGTATATTTTTTTAATTATACATTTGAACAGGCAAAACTTTAATCTAATAGGGATTTGGGATTATCTTAATCATTCGCGGTTAATCAAACATGTACTGAAGCAATTAATTAAGATATGAATAGCAAAAAGCTCCAAAATTGTAAAGTTAGCTAAGATGTTAATTTTAAAAATGTCAACCAATATAAGAAAAGATTTTTTTTATCCCCACCTCCCAATCTTATCCTATATGCATCAGAAAATGTTGGGCCATGCTGATGTAATTATTTAATAATAATAATAATAATAATAATAATAATGTAATTTCACATAGGAAAGGACAAAACACAGATGAAGCAAATAGATGCAATATGTGATGGTCCATGATTGCATGATATTGAGAGCCACCACTCACCAACCAACTATGTCTATGTGCCCCTCATGCTCATGTTTGTGATTGACATATTTTTTGAATTCTAATAAACGTTCATTTCATTTGTGTGTGTATAATTCCACATATGTAATAAATATATCTCTCTTTTCCTACCAGCAATGATTAATATAATGAAATAATAATTACAAAACAGAGAATATTACAAGTTTGCCCAAACCAAAAAGTATAGAACATTATAGAAATAACAAATAAAATAATGATTTTATCGGAAATAAAATTGCATATGATTAAAATTAAATTATTCCACATGCACCACAACACAACGATAGATGATCTATCCGTTACGTATTAAAGTTAGGGAAAGGGACATATATATATATAT